TTCACTGCATGGTGTAAACATAGTCAGGTCCGAGTATTTAGCAACAAACGCGTCCAAGAATGAATGCAGGAGGGTGGCTGGAGATGGAAAGTTCGAAATGAGTAATAGAAATGCTAAGCTAGCTACCAGATAAATCTGAATAGAAGTAATGTAAGTCAGCGGACTCAAATAAAACTGGACTTATAAAATGTTCCTCCCAGCAAAGCTCATAGTGCTCAATTTAGAAAGGCGGTTTCTCGGAGGGCGGGAAGGGGGGCGGCTGATGGCGGGAACTTTAATGTCTGGACACTCAAAACGTAGGCAAACCAGGCCCCAGAGGTTGTTACGGGGAAGACAAAACGGAGATGAATTGAGAAGATATATAGCCATCGGACCCACCTGGTTTCGTTGAATCTTCATCAAAATCGCTTAAAGTCTCCGGGCCAGTGCCACCGCCAAGGTTCGGGCTGAGCGGGCTAATCGTAGCCGAGACGCCCACACGGTAGAGCCTGTTCGCATCCAACCCGTAGAACCGAACGGATTTTGCCTTGACCGTTTTCCACTGCGTGGGTAAACTGCCAGAGTAGAGTACACATCGGTAGCTGGTGACTCTCCCGGGCGCGTACAACGGTTCTGACCAGCTGGCATCCACCGAATCACCCCACTGCGTGACGTAGAGATCCTGAACGGCACCAGGCACTGCAAAGAGAGAGGGAAAGAATTTGTGCGAATGAGGACGGATCTGCTTTGGTGAATAACTGCCCTCAGGCTGCGGACTTGCTCGGATGCATGAACACGCCAAATATCTATTTCACCTGAAGGTGCCCTAAGCGCAATGAAGCGTTCCTAAGGGAACAACGATGTAGATAGGAGGGCTTAATCGATGAATTCGGCAGCACAAACGCAGCAAGCATATAATGACATGGGCACGATCTCTATTTAGTCCAGATGCATAAAAGCCGTCTACTAACCGCTTTGGAGGAGTCAGCAACCGACTGCTTGATTTCTTGTACATGAAAAATGAATGGTTGTTCAGATCCATAACAGTCACCTCAGTCTCGAAAACACCTCATAATGGACTCGCACAGGGCAGTTCTAAAGACTTCCTGAATGGCGGTAAAACCTCTTATCCATGCACACTGTGGTTTGAAATTAGGTGACCTACCTCATTCAAATTCTTGGTAGTTAAGCTTTGGATCTGCTGAATGGAGTTGATGCTTCCAAAGAAAACTGCATGTTGCGGTGGTATAGTGAACAAAAACAGTCAGGATTTTAGTGAAATTGGGCGTTGCCGGGTGTCCATAAAGTCTCCTATATGGCAGAACGAAACCCTCTTGTTTTTGTATAAACAAGAAATGCTTAACATAAACCCCTTCCAGGACCGGAAAATCTGATTTTAATTTCGTGCAAATCAGCTGAAAGTAAACGTCAGGAATAGCACTGTTAGATAATATTGAACGGCAAAGGCAAGATACACTGGAATGGCCCTTTCTGGTTTATTAGCCGTCGTCAGCCAGTCATACCCAGACCCAGGTGGTACCCCGTCCGAGCCTCGAAGTCGCGACCTATTTGGTCAGAGTCGAAGGCCCTAATCATTGAGCCACGAGCTTATTGTCATTGACACTCATTGATGAATGTTCACCGACCGCTAATGGGACTCATCCGTCTAGTTCGGCCTTGGCTTTGACGGAGCCGTAGCAGCTGGCAGTATAGGCAGATGATTTTTGAAGGCGAAGACAAAGGAAACTGGAGTGGTTATCTGTGGCTTATTTGTCGTCGTCAGTCGTCTACTATGGCTGGCAGGGCCTCTATCGAGGCCCAGGGTACAGATGACGCCCATTGGCGTTGATCAACGAGTGTCAAGGGCATTGTTCTCGAAGAAAGGAACGAATTCAGAATACAACGCTTTTGCCGATTTTCGTCGTCGTTAGTCACAAAAAACAGCAGTAAACTTGTTTAATCGTATTTTATTTTACTGTATCGAGATTTGGGACAATAAATAAAAATGGTACATTTTTGTCGCGGAGATGGAAACCGAAAACAACTTTGTTACTTTTCATGCATATAGCAAGATCCTTTTTGTGCATTATGCGTTCCACTTAATTTATAATTAAGAAACGGAACCGATAGAATATTAACAGTTTTCCCACAAAAATTGTATGTTTGCGATTTTACCTTCAACTTCAGTTAGAACTATTTTTACTGCTTTCGAATTTTGAGGCTTTTTTTAAAAACAAGTTGGTATTTGTAAAGACTATCATAATACTTTAAGCATTTCCCTTCAAGTTTTAAATTAAATTAGGGTCGTTTACTATTATTTCCAAGTTTTCGTATGTGTGTGAATGATGGTTTGCGAGTGATTATCAGTCCTTTGAAATTTCGACACTTTTCATCAAAATTGGTCCCATACTGTGCGTTTTCGCGTAGCTTCCTTCTCTATATATGGAAATCACCATTAGTCTAAACTTCGACAATGCGGCGCGCTCTGTTCAGAAGCCAATGGGCATGGCGCTCGAAGCCACTTCCCTTAGTCTCTACTCTGACTTGCGATTTTACAATGGTGGGTTTTTGGATACAGAGAGAGGGAGCGTGTTAGATGCTTCGAAAGCTTGGTTTAGTGTCCATAAATTTTCACACAAGTAAATGCTTTGCCTCCCCTCGAGCAGTGCGAGTAACCGTTGCTTAAAATGAATGATTTAATGCATAAAGTCATTGTAAATCAATGAATTTGATCCGCTCCTACAGAAACAGAAACATTTACCACGTTAGGTGCTAGGTAATCTACACATAAAGATATCACGGACTAGGCTGTAGCTGTGAGGACGTTAACCCTCCCCTTGTTTCAGGACTGGTCTTAAATTTCACGACGGATGCTTATTCAAATGCACTGGAGTTGGGTAATGATACGTTATGCAAGCCTTCGTGGTTTAAAATACATAGCCTGGGCTGGTTTCGTTTAATATTTCATAGTTACGGAAGGTTACTCTCTGTATGTCAACTACTACAGGCATAAAACGATATGCAACAAGTTATTTCGTTGTGATTTGTGCTAAGTAAATTTCCCTTACTTTACTAAGAGTTGGCTTATATTCATTTATTTTTAATATTACTGCCAATTCCGTCGCCGTAGAAGAACAAAATGGGCAGACATTTCCTACTTTATTTAAACTAGCCCATTGCCAGCATTTCCGTTTTAGAAGATTCAGAATTAGTGGTGGCTGAATGGGGGGGGTATATGACATAACGTTGCCCGGAAATGTTAAAAACAGCTGGATTACGCCCCGGGACCCTGGTTGCGGACTTGCGACCTGAATACATACTATTAGCCAATTAAAAACACCCAATAACTTACCTTTTAAGGGATGCGTCTTGGGAATGCTCCATTCCCACGATTACTCACCGCGAGTGCAAACCGCGCCGCTGTCACGAGAGCGCGCCGTGATTATCGATTTTTTCTCATAGTGGATTGGCCCATTGTCTCGGCTATGTCTCGCGCGTTCCCCCTAAAATGCACGCAGCCGAATTGTGTAAAGTGCTCAGTCTGAGTAAACGCCGACTGGTCTCTGTCTCTCTTGGGGACCGTTCGCGTTAATTAGAAGTATCAGATACGGGTCGTAACAATGCTGTAATGCGGTGTTTAGCTAAAAAATATTGCCGTACTTCATATTTTATTAAGATGGATTGCTGTATCGGCCTTGCTTTTTCATCCCTTAAATG